GTCTTGTAGAACAAGGACATTTTACTATTTGGGAAGAAAATTTAAAAGACTGCAGAAATAATTTTAAAGACTGGCCTTCTAAAGTTCTGCATGCCTTTTTCACAGACAAGGTTACCACTCGACGATCAACTGGCTTTAGTCCATACTTCCTATTGTACGGAGTAGACCTGGTGCTACCATTTGACTTGACAGAAGCCACATTCATGATTAGTGGATTCAAGAAGGGTCTATCCTCTGCTGAACTCCTCGCATTAAGAATTCGCCAGCTGAAAAAGCATCCAGAGGACATACAAAGAGCATCAGTAGCCATCAAGAAGGCTCGACTATGATCAAAGGCCCAGTTTGAGCAACGATTCTCACATTAGCTTCATACATGAAAGCTACAACCAGGAAATTTAGTATTAGTATGAAATTCACGACGAGACATGGGACTCACTGATAAATACTGCCCTCAATATCTTGGCCCCTATGAATATGTATGATGGAAGCAGAGTAATGCTTACATTGTAAGAAAACTCAATGGTACACCTATTTGGAGAGCGTATGCAGCATTCAGAATTTTGCCATACAATCCACATGCTGCAATTAATCTAGATCAAATTGAGATTGACGATCCTGAATCTGATCAAGATTCAAATGTGACATCAGAGTCTTCCGATGCTTGGCCCTTTGATTAGACGATTCCACATGTCCCGCTCCTTCTCCATTAGGAAACTTCATGCAATCTCAGCACTTTTGCAAGTGATCAATTTTCAGCTCATGTACACCCGCTACTTGCTCATTTCCTTGCACTACACTAAGTTGCTCTCCTTTTCATTTGATCTTCCTCCTCATTATGATGACTGATTTCGACTCCAAATGTGCTATACTCAGTATTGTCATCCTTTCTGCACAGGTTCACTATCACTGAAGTTCACCAATTCCCATTTGATCAATGCCCACTCATAGATCATCAACTTCTTTCCTTGTACCTTAACCCGCTGCACATCACCTACAACTTTAATGCTGAAGCACAAGGCTTTTATCTCTACCCTTATCCTACTCCGATGTCAGCAGTTCAGTATTCACTTAGTGTAATGTGCACTGATGCTGTCACATCATGCACGATGTTTTTCACCAATATTCTGTGAACAACTCGCGACAGTCATCTTCATGTCTCTGGATGGATTACAGAGAACTCACCTGCTAAGAATGGCGGATTATGCATTAAACTTTCATCGCTCATTGTCTCCATGGCACCGGAGTACCTTGAGCTTCCACCACTTGTCAAATGGATTTTGTGACTACCTGTTACCCTTGCAAACCTTGTTTTACCTTAGACACGAAAGGACATATCTTTTCTCCACAACGAGGACATTGTATTTCAAGTGTGAGGTGGTTGACACACACAATTTGTGTCTCACGTAAAGATTCTACCCTACACAGGAAGATCTCCATGCGTGACTTGCAAGAGCAGCAAATGGGAAAGGACAACGTCAACCTTTCCTCAAGATATATCGCACCTACATGCCAACAGCCCTTGAGGACGAGTACATCACATGAGACACCACGATCTCATCCATCGGCACATACATTGCCTTTGGATCTCTTTACAGTCGCTCAATGTAGGCAATCCCCTCATTCTCATCAGCACAAGATCTTGCTTGGTCCCCTTTTCTCTATTCCCAGAATTGTCGTTCATCCGCTGAGCAGACTATCAATAGACTTCACTTGTCGAGGAGTAGATTGTGGAGAAGAGAAATATGAGATGAAGACACTGAGTTTGATCGAAGCATAGGGAATTGTGTTTGTATCCTTTCGCTATTATCGCCAGTCATACTTTTAGTTACAAGTGCTCAGTACGCAGTTTGTTATGCTTTGTAACTTGTCAAAATGTTCCATTGATTCTATTTGTTATTTGTTGTATAAATAAGTACAACAATAGCCTAGCTATTGTTTCCATTCATTTATTATCCTAAGACAATAGCCTACTATTCATAACACTAAGAACTATTGTTCCTATTGATTCAAGTGACTATTATTTTTATTGATTTACTTAGCTATTGTTTATCTTCGCTATTGTTTCTATTGAACCTTCTGGCTATTGAACACCCTTTTTAGTGTATTTTATGAACAACCTATTGTTACATAGGCAATTGTTCATCCTTCTATTATTCTTTTCCATTGTTTCTGTCTATTATGCTTTGGACCTTATTGTCCTAATTTTTTCACAAGTTTTAGTATATGAAGGCCTCTGCCTGAGACAGAAAAATCAATATACTGATATTCACATACAACCACGTGCCAAGCAATTAAGTACTACTAAGTAAAGTAGTAAAGTCTCTGTCTAAGTCACCAGTAGTTTATAAGTACATAATGTTGTACTTATTGGATTACAAAGTCTATTGCCCAAGTCTCTAAGTCTATAAGTCTTAAGGTCTGATATCGGAGTTCGTGTACTCATATCAGTCAACTCTACTGAAGTTAGTATTTTATCCAAGAAGGGTATTTACTACTTTGTTCTTATTTCTAACACCTAATTTACTTCAGTAACAACTGGGATACAATCTGACTTAAGACCAGTACAATTATCTCAGGATTTGTGGAGATTTGAAGTCTCGCTTGACACCTGACATTTTTATTAAATCACCCAAGTTGTACATCACTCTGAACATGTTTGTTCTAAGTGCAATAGTGCATTGCTTTATAATTTAGAATATGAGTCTTTGCCAAATTTTCAGTGTTTCATCACCAACAGTCTGCAGATTAACTGGGAATCTGAGTTAGAATTGCAGAATCAGAAGTATAGACTTTGTGGTATAGTTTATTATGGTGGATTTCACTTTACTGCACATATCATTACAAAGACTGGTTTAATGATGAGATTACAACTGGGCAGACTTGTATATTAGAGGGACAACTAGCGAGTATGGATTCAACAGCACTGACAAAGTGTAGATCAAAGATTAGTTCTGTTGTTGTATATGTTAAAGCATGACTGTATTAGATTGTAACATAGCAAAATGTATATTTAATTATAAAAATGTACAACTATAATACTTTTGAATGATGAGTGCAAAAAAAAGACTAAACACATATATTAAGTGCACTTCAGGGTACCCTTCTGATCTAGCTCTTAGCTTCAACATAATCTATATTGTGTAGTGGCTAAGAGCCTCTCAGGTGTCAGACAGACCATGGTACCAATACATGTCTCAGGGCATTATATGGGATTACCCAGGGCAAAGGCAGGGCAAAGGCTGGTCCAATGACACAATTATTATATGGGATGTCCTATAGTACTAGGGCATTGATATTTATATTCCAGTATTACTGGTTGTCCCATGGTGCCAGGGGTACATAGGAATGTCCCACTATTAGTAAAAGATGTATTTTTAGGCTATTGTATAGTAGTTTTTTTATACTTTATTCCACTATCATATTATCTAAGCCTTAATTATAAAAACAGTGACTATAGTGATATAAACAAGCACTTTATTTGCATATTATATAAGGTGGGATCTCCCATTTTAAGGACATCCTAAGATGTTATTTTAAGATTCACAGATATTTAGTCTCTTCTTTAGCCTGAAGTTTCTATTTAACTACTATAATTATCTAGAGATTTATACTAACAGTTGAATTACTAAGGTTTAAGAGTGACAGGTCCTTACAAGGGATATCCCATCACATAAAGGGACATCCCATAATACAAAGGTGTCATGTAGTGAATGCATTTCTGAGTGTAACTTGACTGAAGTCTTAGGTCAAATGCCTTTCTTTTTTCATTCAAATACAGTATATGATAGGAGACATGACAAGAATATATCTCCTTTGCTAGTATATTAGTAGACTGAGTAGTTCTATTTCTTGAGACACTTGGTAAAAGTTGTAGTATAGCTATGATACATACTATATGCCAAAGATTATATCATGTTAGTCTGAACATTATGTCAGAAAATGTAAAATTGATTTTAAAACATGAGAATAAACATTGTTGTTTGACCTGTCTTAGTTGTTATATGAGCCAATGAAGTTGTTGTACATGCTACCAATAGTAATATAGTCTTGATAACATTACAAATGCATACACAATACTTGATATGGGATATCCTGCTTTCTATAAATATTTCACCATATATAAAGTGCAAATAAGGCACTTATTTACAGTATTCTAGTCACTGTTTTTATAATTAGAGCTTATACAATATGATTGTAGAACAAAGTATAAAAAAACTACCATACAATAGCCTAAAAATACATTTTTTACTAATAGTGGGACATTCCTATGTACCCCTGGCACTATGGGACAACCAGTAATACTGGAATATAAATATCAATGCCCTAGTACTATAGGACATCCCATATAATAATTGTGTCATTGGACCAGCCTTTGCCCTGCCTTTGCCCTGGGTAATCCCATATAATGCCCTGAGACATGTATTGGTACCATGGTCTGTCTGACACCTGAGAGGCTCTTAGCCACTACACAATATAGATTATGTTGAAGCTAAGAGCTAGGTCGTAAGGGTACCCTGAAGTGATTAAAAGTGTAGACCTGATAGATATTAAAATTAGGAATAGTTCTTGCCGTGCATTAGCATCGGCCCACTCCAAGCAAGTCCTATATGCCCAGCCTATACCCTATCTATACCCTGGGCAATCTCACAGAATGCCTTGAGACATAATAGGTACCATGGTCAGTCTGACACTTAAGAAGCTCTTAGCTATGACATACTATAGAAGATCTTGTTGCTAAGAGCTAGGGATAAAGGGTACCCTGAAGTGCAGTCGGACAAAATTTTCTGGATACTGGGTAGAGGATGGACATCTGGAATAGTGTTAGCATTAAGAACACGGTAATTGTTTACCTAACGAGGCAGAGCGGTCAGGTCTGCTTTGGGAATGAGGAAGCAAGGACTGGCATGGAGAGAGGAAGAAGGGCGCATGTGGCCAGCGGTGAGATGCTGAGTGAGTAGGGTTTTCTAAGCCTCACGGTACTTCTTAGGACAATCATATTGTCAGCGTGTGATGACCATGTTGGGGTCCTTGAGATGGAAGCGGTGAAAAACATCAGTGGGGAGGTAATCAAGATGGTGAATGTCATCAGGGAAGCAGTCGGTGAACTGATTTTTCATTGTGGCGTTCTCATGGGATAAGGTCTCTTGATACGCTAAGTCTTCAATGCCGTCGGGGACAGCCACTACAGTAGATGTGATAGAGATGGTCACAGTAGAATCCAGGAGAGGCTGCGTGTGGAGGAGGATATCACGCATAAGATCACAGTGTTGCACAAGTTGATTATGTGCAGCGAGGTCGTGTGCCTTAGTGGCATCATGGCGGCATTCTCTGAGGCTACGGAGATCGGGAGGTGTAAATTGTGATGTAGATTGTGGTGTAGATTGTGGTGTTATAGGCTGCATGATGTCGTGGTTGGAGATTTTGTTGATTAAGATACCAGCCTCGACATCAGCAATGATGTGATTACATTTCAAGAAAGGGTTACCAAAAATGACAGGAATACTGAGAGAAAGAATGACAATCGCATGACAAGTAATGGACATCCAAGAAGAATCTTTGGTGCTTACGCGTAGCTTCACTCACTTAGTTAAATTTTGTTGCTCTAGGTCCCATGCATCACCAAGCGGGAAGGGTTTAGCGAGAGTGTGGTGATGGAGGCCAAGCTGGGTTGCAAGAGAGTCTCTAATCAGAGCTGCCAGAGATCCAGAGTCAATTAGCATAGAGATCATCAAAGGAGCAGTGAAATGGGAGAGGAGGGAGCCACGCCAGAGAATATGGGGAACAGTGAAGTCAGCGAGAACGCACTTATTACCCTCAGAGTCAGTTCCGGAGCCAAGTATATCGGATGTGAGGGCCAAGGGAGAGTAGGCATTGATGGCAGCAACATAGTTGTCGTCAAGGTCAGTGTTGTTGGGAACAGTAGAGATGACAGTGACGGTGTTGTCGAGTGTCTTTGCGTTGAAATCGAGGAAGAGATGGCCACATTTCTTGAAGACGTCTCTGACATCGCTCGTTAAGGTGGTGTAGAAGGTTGCATTCGGGAATCCTTTCATACAGTCACTTGTGCAACACTTGACAAAAAGGTGACGGCATTTGAAGCAGCCGAAGAATTTCTTAAGGAGTTCGCACTCTTTGTTGGTGAGGGGACCGAGGCAAGTGGATTTGGTGGTAGCGGAGGAAGAGGAGGAAATGCGTTTGGGAGTCGGTTTGAATGAGAAAGATGGACGAGTAGTGGCAGGTGAGATGTGGCAATTACTGTGAAGGAAACGCTCAATTTCTTTCATGTGGCGATGCTTGTCAGCACGGCGTTCATTGTCCATCCTTTCAGTCCTTGTAGCACTTGATAGATTTGAAGAAGGGTTTCTGGCAGGCGAGGCACGTAGGAGTGTCTGCTTTTCGATGGTGACAATCCAGTCTTCAAGAGAGTTGTTGTTATCGTGCGTCATCCGTATTAGCACAGTGAGTACCTTGTCCTCCCAGTCCTTCTCAAGCCAGTGGGAGCACATGAGTTTGATGAAGTCGTCCCAGGAGACAGTTGTAAGCGTGGAGGCATTGGTCATTACCCAATCGCAGATGAGCTTGTCTTGCATTCCTCCGGTGATGTGGGAGACCTTGTCAAGGTCAGCAATGGATTTGCGCTTGAAATATTCAAGACAAGCGACTTCCCACTGTAGGAGGAGGGAAGGAGTGAGCTTGCCAGATGTGATGGAGGGGGGGTGTTTGATGGAAGACTGCAAGATGGTGGCAAGAGGGCAGAAGGGCATAGTTGAAATGGGTGCAGGTGGGGTATATCCGCTAGAATCGGAGGATGAGGAGGATGAATCAGAAGGAAGATGGGAACGGGGTGTAACAGGAACAGTGACAGATGGGGATGGAATGACAATGGGGGGAACCATATGTGATGGGGAAGATAATGTGTTGTTCTGAGTGAAGTGCCCAGCAATGATGGAGGCAGTGTTGAGTGCTTCACTCAGGCTGTCAATGTCAGATTCGGTGAGATCTGATAGTGATGATAACACATCTATCGTGGGTGTCTAATTACGTTCAACAGAGGTGTCATCAAGAGATAACAATGGAAGAATAACCTGAGAGAGACGTGATCGAGAATACATTCTCAGAGGTTTGGGAACGGATGGCGAGCGACAGTGAAAAGACAGTTTGGGAAAATGGAAGGGTTGCACTCTTTAGGACAAAGTGGTTTGCATGAAGTTCAAAAAAAAGTGGAAGCCGGGTGCGTAGTGGCCGGCAACACTCAGATCAGACTTCGATAGAACAGGTGCAAGATATCTTCGTTGCCATGATGGTAAAAAGTCAGTAAACTACCGGGGAACATGTGTGTAACTATACGTACCTTTGTTGCCATGATGGTAAAGAGTAAAGAGGCAATGAAGGTTTGAACATAAGATAAACACTGTCACCGGATAAGGAAGGAGAACTAAACAAATATGTCGCATCTGTGTAATAGGGTTCAACATAGCTGATAAGATCTTTATCTTATCTGTTCACCCTCACAACTCACTCTTTTCGCACTTTTCTTTACTTTGTAGTAGTGCAGAGCAGGGGTATGGATAACCCTCAAGGGTCAGGGGTAAGGGTATTATTGGAGGATAAGGGTAGGGGTATGAACTTCCAGACCCTTGTACCCCTGGAGGGTATCACTGCATATAGTATATATAATGTAAGCAGTAACTGTATGGTGAATAAAGCCAAAGTACAGCCTAGATACAGCCTTAAACTATGTATACAGAAGCTCCAAAGGGAAAAAAAAACTGTTACAAGCCTTAAACATAATGTGTATAATGTCATTTCCTCAAATAAGGCAGATATTGAGGGGTATACCCTCAGAGTTTGGTACCCTTACCCATACCCTTACCTCTGGTGAAGGGTATGTACCCTTGGAGGGTAAGGGTGGGGGTACAGCTCAAAGTACCCAGAGGTATACCCCTGCTCTGCACTACTTTGTATTCACTTGTCTGTCTATTCAATGGCATCTCTAGGTGGCAAATTTGGTAAGCATTTTTGTGAAAATAAAATGGTATATTCTCACTTACTCTATCTTCTTTAGCTGCTTCCATATATCAGAGTGGTGGCGATGTCAGATTCTACCTTTGCCCTTCTAACTCTAAGGAACCTGCTGTATTTGCTGTTGATGGTGAACTGGGAGAAGTACATTGTTGATGCTGAAAGGAAGCCTTTGCATTGCTCTACTGTACAGCTTAGTCCTCTTCTTTAGCTGCTTTTATATATCAGATTGACAGTGATGTCGACATCTACCTTTGCTCTTCTAACTCTAAGGAACACATTATATTTGTCTGTTGTATAGTCATTAGTAGTTACAATTCCTGGGGTACAAAGGAGTTATTCTTTGTAGGATGAGCCTTTCACCAACTTGACTATCATGCACTTTTTCCAGCAGCCACCAGAGGTTGGTGCATTATAGTTAGTGAAATGAGGGAAGCACACAGTAATTCTAAGATGTAGACTTTAGTGGTATTAAAATCTATGCATAACATAGTTCAGAATACTCTCTTAAACCAAGTAAATCTGAGTAAAACTGGCTGAGATACCTTAGTTTTGAATTAGAATGCTCAGCCTAAAGTGTAGAAAATTTTTAAAAATTCCATTTAAATTTTGAAATGACCGTATAATGTACATGTACATGTTAGATAGGGCGCATTATTTATTACAAGCAGTACACATTGAAGAAACAAGCAGGAGTGAGAGAAAACAGAGAAATTGAATTGTAGCACTGCAGAAAGTGATTCTGATGTTCTGAAAGTGACACCATCAGATTCAGTTTAAAAATATGGTCAGAATGCCTACCAGGTTCATCAAATCCGAGCAGAATTGAGTGAACCACAAGCCTTGCAAGTTTGGCTGGAAGTGCTTAAACTTGTCACATGTCACACGAGTTTCGCGCCACAGCACCTATTTGGGTGTTAGTGAGACGACCACGTGATGCAGCGCGAGTTTTTGTTGTCTCGTTAATGCCCATGTGAAATGTGACTTATGGCTGGAGCAAACACTTACAATATAAGTACTAGGGACGCGCGGAGGCGGCAGGACTTGCTAGGTGTTCCGGTCGCGCTCGAAACGCCGTAGTGACATTGCAATAAGAGGGCTGGATGCTACGTTATTGTACGAAATTGACGGTCTCATAAGAAGGAAAGCGAGCTATATAATAATTATGTCGGAATATCGATTTTTTCTCCTAGCTTCACAACATGCGCAGCATTGGGCACCTGCTAATATCCATCTGATACTGAGTCTGTAGGGTGGACCGATAATACAGTGGATAGGTATTCCTGGAAGGGAGACGAGTAGCGAACCTTTGTCTCTGAAGTATCTTTTGCAGCTGACACAGCTCCACTCAGGACAGAGTAATCGTTGTAAGGGTGCAGCCCAAGTGTTGGCATGGTAGGCAACATCGTAGCCGAGATTAAGGTAGTAATACGAGATGTCAGAGATGTCAGTATGTGGATACGGGTTTTGGTGTTCATCGTGTTTGGGATCATCCCAGTGGATATTTAGTATGCCGCGTTTTTTTAAAGTGAGCGCCGGATACGCAATACCGATGCAGTCGGCGGAGAGGAAATTCATAAGAATGGTGCTGCGGAGGTAGGGGATGGGATATAGAGGGGATTCTGCGATGGAACGATGCACGAGAATGGTAGCTTGGGGTGTTCTGAGTTCGGTGGTTTCTTGTACACCTGTTAGGTGTGGACGGGGGTGAGCATATGCGTCAGTGACGCACACGAATTCTTTCGTGATTAGGTAGTCTACAATAATAGAAAACTTGGTGTAGGGAGAGTACAGGTCGAGACGGGGTGGTTGCCAGCATGCCGTACGATCGATGTAACGGAGGGTTGCAATGTCGGAAATAATGGTATGCGTTTTTCGCATAATAGCTCGGAGGTTGATGGGATTGTTGACGAACTGGTGGAGAAGGTCGTGATAGGAATCGAGGAGTTCGTCATGTGCAGTAGTGTAGGCTGCATGATTTCGCTGTCTCCAGGTAAGAACGGAGAGAAAGTCAAGATGCTTGCAGATCTGTAGTTCGAGCTCTGGCGACAGTGGGCTGGAAGGTTTGTATGTGAACTGCGTAGGTTATAGGCGATATAGTAGAAAAATCACCTTTTTGCTTCGAGGGACGGATAGATTTGCGTGGACATGGTGGTTGGTGACGTCATTGCTCTTGGGGTAGGGGTAAATATGGTTCACACCGAGGGGAGTGTGACGTATGGTTCGTGCATGTGAGCACGTTAGATTGGAGATCAGTACTATCTTAATATCTCACAGTGGCAAAGGCACGGAGACTTACGGTCGGTGGGGAGGAAATGGTCATTAGATTTAGCGAAGAAGTGCGTGAACAGGTGGTACAAGTACAGTTGTCTGTTATGAGCTAAGCATATTGTATTCTCGGCTACATTTCACCGTATTTGAGGGTCGGTAAACTGGTGGTGTTCCCACGATCTTCATTGGTCGGGACGGCGAGGAGCTGGGAGACGGCGAGGAGTTCAAATTTGGTTCGCCATGCTTTCCAGCCAGTTCGGTCGCCACCGGAGCTGGTGGTCTTGAAGCGTCTGATGTGAGCTTCAACAAGAACAATGTCATTCATCGTGATTTCAGGTGCACTGAGTCGCTTCATTTGATTCTTCGGCTTGAACTTTTCTTTCGCATCAAAGACGTTCGTGAACGGCACCACCTGTAGGAAGTGGTTAGCATATACTTTTGCATGTAAAGGACACTAACTGTGGCAGTGTACTCTCCGCGTGCCTTTTCGGTTTGGAATCATGATGCGTAGAAGATGTTGGACGGAAAGTCTGGGGAAAATGTCTGCGAAAGGTATATGCTGCGAAAGGTCGAACCTTGCGGGGGCTCGGACTTGTCCTTCAAAAATTGCTGCAGAATCGGAACGTCGGCACTGTGGAGAGGCTGTACGCCGATGTTAACTTGGCTTTGTGGTCTTCCACTGTTGTCGAAAAACCAGTATGCTTGCACTTCACCGACGAGCCAGATGATGATCGGATCATTGTTCGGCATGCATAGGAATGACATTTGCTTGTTCCCCCACGTAGCATTAGGCGGCAGTCATGTGGGTGAAAATGTGGCTGATTCCTCGTCTGCATAGTTTGCAAAGGAAGTCAGTTGTCTGCAGTAATGAAAAAGATCGTGAATGTAAGTAGGCGTGCGCATAATGGGATAAACTTTACTTCATGAATATATCATTGAAGTGGGAGCGTCAGACGATGGGGCTGTCATGTTGCTCTCATGGCAATTGCGATTCAGTGTTATCTCTATTCATTGCGGATTAGTTGTGTTTCATAGAATGTGAATTCGGGTTGGGTAGAACTTACGTTGGGCTGATCGTCGTAGAGGGTGCTTGGTCGGTAAGCGTGCTGTCACTAGGTGGGAATGTCATAGTCTATTCATGTTCATGTGACCAAAATGTGTTACCTGCGCTTCGCAGAGTGGTCACTATCGTGTCCACTATCATTTTTTTCTTTTCCTTTGTATGTTTGAGTGTCGTCATCTTTGTCAGGCCTACAAGAGGATAAGCAAGGTGCGTCAGAGATCGGTGTCTACAAATGATGTGTGCTCGTGTGTACTTGTTCTTTTTCACAGTGACACGCGTTGTAGTGGCATCTTCCTCTGCATTTCACTTGCGACCTCTGGTTAACGGAATATCAGTAACTGCGTACACGAGGAAGTAAACCAGCTCCAACCGAGGACTTTTCATTGTGTCCATGAAGGGAGTTCACCTCGATGGAAGGGGGAGAAGGGGTACCGAGGGGTATGTTCCCTATTCATTTCCTGGACAGACGTGTGGATCAGGATTCAAAGTCAGAGAAAGTTCAGCAGCGATCATTTGTGAGGGCGTAGTTCATCATGTGTGTCGAGAGCTGATGCAGTATTGGGCCAGTCGTGTGGAGTGCATCTGTATAAGGATCTATGTAATCGAGTGAAGAGGGTGCCGCATAGGTGATTGCTTACCAGTCTCATGCAGCCATCGCTATCAGCCTCAACTTCTATGAAAGAGCAGCCGTTAAGGTGAGCTATTTCAGTCGTTCATCTGTTTTTTTTTCGTGCGAGAATGATTGTTTACTTAGGGTTCCAGTACAGTTCAGCGGAGACTTGGCTCTTCACGTCGAACTGCTGAGCTATCTGGATATTCATACACTCTTGAATTGGTCGGGAGCTTGTAGACGAAATTTGCGGACAGTGAGAACAGAGCTCAATCGGACGCTTCACCAATTGCTGTCACACTTTGTGGACAATGTCAAGCTATTTCAGACAATCATGCACGAATCAGGCAGCATTATTTCAGGCTCTGCCGCCCTGTGGTTCATTCATCGACAGGCTGGCTGGTTTCTACACGATATCGACTTGTATGTCGCTTTTAGCTTGTACGAGTTCATTATCAACCAGCTCTTGGTCGCTTTTCCACATGCACTGGTCATCATTGGAAGGTGTTTTGTTGGAAGGTACAGCACCGGCCCTTCTATATGTCAAGTGGTGCAATTTATTACGGACCGTGGGCGTATCGACATCGTCTGCAGCCATACGGAGTCTCCCCTCTTCCCGATTTCACATTTCTGGTCGACACTTGTGATGAACTTTGTCAGTGCTGACACATTTGGTTCAGCATATCCAGCTCTGACTCTTCGAAGGCGTGGTCTTCTTTCGCCATATCGACCATTTGGAGTGAAGGAAATGGCGGTGAAGGTCAAGTACGAAGCGCGGAGTTATGAATTTGGAGTTCGCTGGAATATCTGGGAAGATTGATGCAGTATAGGATGTTGTGATGGCAACAACGGAGCTTGCATAAATTGCGTGTGTTTCTTCGGTGATTCGTTTTGTCTAATAGGGTTTTTTAATGTCATGGAGAGGGAGCGGTTAACCGAGGAGATGTCCCTTACACCACCATTTGCTGAGATGGTTGTATGGCGGTTGGGAGAAGAGGGTTGTGGCGGGGAATGTTGTAATGGATTTCCATCGTGGTTCGCTTCTGTTCCTGTCATAAAAGCTCGATACTAAATGTATAGTTCTGTTGGAGTAAAAATACAGCACTACTGTACACCGAACTTCATAGCGGCCGTGTGAGTTATGGAGAGATGAGCAAAACCTTAGTCGGTCTTTATCTTTTTCATCAGAGGTACCGGAACGGCAGCATGGGTGGGACTGGAAGTCTTCATTGCACGCGGAAGGATGAGGACAGGAGGGATTTCGACACAGTCATCGGAGGGTGCAAGTACATGCAAACTGTCAGCGTGAATTTGGTAGATCTAAATATGGTGAGTAATTCGAAAGCTACAGCATTCACAAATGGAGCTGACATACCTTGCGAACCCTTGATTTCTTTTGAAATATCCAGCAATGGAGAGATGCATTGACGGCGACGATGGTACCGGGACGAAGTGCATCATGTAGTTTCCACGGTGCTATGTAATTGTCATTGGCATCGCGGAATTCCGGCTGTACCAGCTTTGCATTGACTAAGTTAAAGTAGTCTCCGATGTAGTCCAACTGGAGTGTGGGCTCGTACAGAGCTCCTCTTGACACTAGGGGCTCTGTCGTGACAATTGGAAAGTTTGCAGGAGTCGCACGCTTCCTCATGATGCGAGCCGGTTTCAGTGGAGTTATTGTTGGTATCTACCCATTAATGTTCAGGACAGATGCAATGGGAAAGGTGTGAGTGGTTACCTGATATTTGAGAGGAAGATGGACGGCAATTAAATCCATCTCCTTAGTCAAATCACCTTCGACAGAGCGGATCCATTCTTGTGCATGTGTTTTCTGATATCTGAATTAGATAGAAATATGAAGTTTATATGCAATGACTTACAATCACTTCTTTGGCCTCCTCTTGCTCATCAGCGATGCGAACTTCATTCAGCGTGCTGATTTGCTCTCGAAAAGTTTGATAAATCTCATTAGAGGCCATCTTGGGTGAGCTGAGAACGAGAACATTTCTGATCTTGGAGTCATCCGTGACAGGCTAACAAATTTATGGGAGAGTGAATCTGAGGATATTACTCGGGACTTACAGATGTGTCATCGCCGGGTTTGTGATTTCCCTTTGCAGACAAATTGGTACCATTTGTTGTCGGTCGCACTTCTTCGAATATATTGGTCCGAAATTCGGTGGACTTGTCAGCAGTCCACACATAAGAATAGTTGCCCTCGGAAGTGATGACTTTTGAAAAGTCACCAGGATAGAATACTCCGGAGAGGATTGACTTGCCAAGAGACTGTATGAATGCAAGCAGATCGTGGAAGAAGTCACCGTTGGCATGGTTCTCATAGCAAGTTACTGCAGGAGACATGGTTGAATGAAGAGGGGTGAATCCTTTCGTGCTGAGATGAAGCGGGCCAGTCCGGCACGTGTGACACTGGAGCGTGACTTTTCGAGTGGCTCTAGACTCAATGACGTTTCTTGGAAGGGTGTTCATCGCAAAGTGAAGAGAATTCTCGTTTTCTTTTGGATGACACTGTTTGAGGAGATTCTCTTGGGTATCAGTAGGTGTAGCAGTATAAGCTAAATTTACTAACCATGTGAAACATCAGTGGTTGTTTCAGTGCACAGTTCCGGCATCGGGTCATCGTTTGAGACCGATGTCGGAATTAATAAGCCAGATCTGAGCACCGATGCAGAAGCATTCTTTGCAGTGGTCGACGAGTCAACTCTTGTAATGAATGAATTACAATCTTTTAATTCATGCAGTGATGCTAGTGCATCTCGAATTTTAGTCGGAGTACCATACTTTACAATGGTCTTTAGACGCAAAGATTCCAAACGTCTCTGTTCATGTCTGAGATCTTCCGATTGCCGACATGATATTTTACATTATTGAAATGGTCTGAGAATAAGAAGACCTTGCAAAGATGTTGCTCTCGAAATCATAACATATGGTGTCTCAGTTCCTCTACAATTATGGAGATCAACAATAACATGACTAAAGGTCTGACCCTAAGCTTTATGTGCTGTTATCGCATATGTGGGTTCAATAGGCAGTTGTGTACGACGAATACTGCAGCGTTTTTGAGAATATGGATTAGTAAATTCCATACTAATAGTATCATTTAACACTGGAATATAGTGAGATGGTAAATATGGTAAATTTTGAGCATCAGAGTCTGACACTTCAACTATACAGGATACAAGATGACGTTGCTGAAATTCATCAATAGTGTATTGAATTTTTCGTAGTATTCCAATACTACCATTTACAATGCCACCATTTACATCAAAATTCTGAGACATCATTACTCGCATTCCAATTACTAGCGGTATTTTTCCAAGACGATGTCTCATTTGGCCAGAATGCAAATTTTGCAGTACAGTTAATAATCTTGGGTCCAATAATACATTTCCTGCATGTTCATCTTTTGAATAATACCAGTTTAGTGCATGACCAGTTGATTCAGCAAAAGCTTTTACTGCTCGAACATTTAACGCGTTCTTTGTAGCATTATCTGTGACTATAATTGGTGCATGCCGAAAATTTTCTCTACATAAGTCAATATTGATGTTCGACATTAAACGTGAGTTAAGCAAGGTATAATCTGAAGCATCACAACGACCCTGACGAAGTCGACTAAGCAGTTCCACAAAAGGTGCATTTTCTGGACCAGATTGACACATTATTTTTGTTAAAATAACAACTGTATCTATGGAGAGCCAATGAAGCTTACCACACAGAATATCTTGGCCTCTACCTTTTGTGGCTCGAGCAATATCTGATTTTTTATTGTGACCATATAAACGTTGCTCTGAAACAGGTGATAACTGAGAAAAATCCCCTGCAAATATAATATTTATTCCACCAAAAACACTTGTATTACCTTTTGCATCTGTAAGAGCCTCACTAATCTTTGCCATCATATTACAGCCAATCATTGATACCTCGTCTATGAACAAATAATCGACACCTTCCCACATAGCCATAAGACCGTGTTTTGCTTTAGATCCTAAAGCTTTTGATCTAGACCTTTGATCTAGAGAGAGTGCTGAATGTAGTGTAACACCACCAATATTACGTGCTGCAACTCCAGTATATGAAGCAAGTCGAAAACGTCTAGATTGTCCAGTAGTTTGAAAATATTCTTTAAGTGCACTAATAACCAGTGATTTTCCAGTCCCTCCAGCTCCACCTATATACATTCGCAAGGGATTATATTCGCCAACTAACTGAGAATGTTGTGTTACAATTTTATATGCCCGTGCTTGTTCACAATTAAAATTTAATCTAATAATTTCTGATTCAATTGAAATGTCAAACGGAGTGTGAACAGATTGAGATATATGCATAACTTCTGCAGCGTGTACAGCATGTTCATATTCACTATTATATAATGGTAGTATCTGGACTGTAGGCTCATTATTGTTTGCTTGTGGAAGATTTTCCGATGCAGTAGAGTTGGTGATAGTTTTTCTCCAGGAGTCTTTGCGCTGATCATAGGTAGCTTTCCAAATTGCTTCTAAATTAGAATTTTCAGCAGAAACTAGTTGTATATTAGTTGTATCATCATCAGTACAACGTGTATGTTCATTTTGAGATGCATATAAATTCGATCTATTTATAAAATCCAAACAATTCTGAACGTCATTATTGTGCGTAGCACTAGATTCAACGTTAATATCATATAATCCATCTAAATGACCTAATATATCAATTTCTGCTGTGTCGCTGGCTAAATCATCTATATCATTATTTTTTATGTTATATCGTTAGACATTCGTGCAGAACGAGCCAGCTTATTTAATTTTTGTCTTTGAATATGATCGATTTGACTATCTTTACATTCATGCAAAATTTGCATATTATCTAAAACAGTAATTATATATAACGGAGCATTCTGAAGAAATGTTGAAAAATGCATTTTGCCATGTTTGGCTTTCAGACTTTAAGTCTGTAATATTTCTCCATAGTTTAAACAAGATAAGCATAAGGCGACAATGACATTCATACATATTTTCTCTATCTCGTCGAGGTATAGCAGGTTTAATCCGGACAGGAATCATGAATTGATTTGGATGAACAATTTGAAGATGTTTTTGAGAAGATTCTATATGCATTGAAAGTAAATCACATTTTGGTCTTCGCTGAGATGTTAACTGGATTAACTTGAGTAAATCTTCAGTACTAACTGGTGCACAATTTGATGTGGTAGATACTGAATCAGCATTTTGATCTTCACCATCAGAACTAAAATCGTCACTATTAGAGTCGTCATCATTTAAATCGTAGTTTTCGTTTGCATTATAGGTGCTACTAGCATTGTTTTCTTTTCGAATCTTTTTAATATGCGAAACAAAGTCCCAGACACTTAAATTAGCCAACATGCTTCCGCGATAAATATAGTCCATTAGTTGTCCTCCATGTGGAATAATTGTTTCAGAACCACTAGCAGAAATTGTAATTTTATCAGGTAATCCTTCAGCTTCGAGTTCTTCATTTAAGTTTGAATCATTGTTTGTATCAATATGTTCTGAAACATCATTTGACATCAATTTATACGATAACGGCTGTTGATTATCAATATGTTTCTCAAAGCTTGTCCAATACAAATTGTTAAATGTATGACTAGTAAAGTGGTCTTCAAGATCCATTAAATATGAAGCAACTTGCTGCGCGCTAAGTTCTTGATGAGATAAAATAGCAAATGCACACTTTTGTAATACTTTTTTTGAACGCACCGTCATGTCATCTTCATCTATACATACATTTTCCAATTTCTTTATAGCTAGTTCTAATGCAGAAAATGCTACATGTGTCTTAAGTTGTGCTTTTGTAATGTAACTCGTAATATAATATAGAATCGCTTTTGCTGCTTCGCCTGATCCTATAAATTTGATATCCATATTACAGCGAACAGCCTCAAGCATTGTTGCATTAAAGTTATTTACAAGTCCATTAAGGCATTTTAAACAAAGCTCACCGCTCTCCATATCAATCGAACTTTCAGATCGAACATTACTTTCATCTAAATTAAAATGACATTCACGTGGTTCAGGTGGTCCCTTCCAATATTTCAAACATGTATTCGTATGAACATGTGACTGACATGTAATAACAAGGTCATGAAGATCCTTAAGACGATTTTCAATTAGGTTATCTATGTCTTTAGAGAAATTAATACTGCGAGTACTACATGGATGTGACTTAAAAAAGTGTTCATGATCTCCACAAGTTGAAGTTGACTTGGATAGTGATGGTATTGTGGTATCAATACTATCATCTAAAAAAGCTAATAATCTCTGACCAAAATCGACATCTTTTCCCTTTACAATACGATTTTTTATTTGATTGGGATTTAAACCACCTGCTACCCATATCATCATGTGACAGTGTAGTGTACCTCTTCCTTGTGCCTCAACACAACCATAATAGCCTTTAACAACGCCAAGTGCACCTTCATTAGTATTAGAATATTTGCCATTGAAATTTAATAATGAATTAAAAAAGGCCTTCATATAAATATTAAAAAAGTTGGCTGCAATAGCAGGATTTCGTGCTATAAGTATTGATTGATCCCAATAATTCGGAAGTTCATTCAACATCATGTTATCTATATCTATGTCATCTCCTGCAAGAAACTTAACTAATGGATTA